GAGCAGTTGGTTCTTCCACACTATGAGAACTGTCCGGAGTACGTATTACTTCCTTTCCTGATCACTTCCACACCGATTTTAAATCGGGGTCATTGAATTGATTATAACTTCGATATCATCTCAAGCATGTTTTGGATCTTTGCACGTTGGATACAGTGTTTGCTTTATCTCACACCTACAACTTATTGATCTCAGGAGCAAAAGTCATCGAGAATGAAAATGCTTGAAGATTGTCAAGGCTTGTAAATGTTATGAAGGATACATTCATGAAAGAATATTATGAAGCTTGAAGTTTGACAAGGCTCGTAAATGTTATGATGGATACATTCATGAAAGAAATAACTATTTCGGCGGTACCTCTTCACCTTCTTACAACCACAGATACTCATTTATGATGTAGCAACATCATATCGGTCTCTTTGATAATGGGATTGATATGTTGTGACATCCAACTCGGCAGAGTTTGCGATGCTGGCTTTGGTCAGGTTGGTTAGACATTGTGCTGTGTGCCATAAAAGAACGGGATCATCAGACTCACACTTGCAGAATTAGAAGCTGAGGTATCACAGTATACCTCACCTTCTAGATCACTTTGAGGGCACCGAGTGTGTTCAAGTAGGTACTATTGACGCACTGATTATCAGGCTCTCATGTCCTTCAGCACTACAAATTGTAGTGCGTCACAACTCCATCACTCAATGTCTTGAGGTTAATGACACAGAGTCGTGGTAAGAGAAGGTGATCCAGGTAGTTGGACTAACTGAAACATTCATAAGCTGAATGTGTTGATCAGTTTAGAAATAGTTAGAATCAACACGTGAGGATATAAAAGCTTGCAGGATGGATGATGGAAGTTTATCTACTGAGCGGCCAAGGACATACGAGACAAAACACCATCTAATGGTGTTTTGTCTTGATGACGGCACATCACTACCCACAATGTCCCTAATTGATGAACCAGACTTGACGGATGGTATGTTTGATGTTATAGTGATTACACCAAACCTTCAGGAATCATCACCAGGTCTCACATAGAAGATTTAATTTGCTGCTGCTATGAGGTATGTCATAGCAGCAGAATTCAAAAGATACGCTCCAATCTATGATAACCACAAGATTTTACATGATCCTTCTTTCATTGCAGAATTCAAAAGATATGCTACAATTCATGTTCACCACAAGGATTTACATGATCCTTCTTTCATTTCTTGAAGTTTCACCATGGAGGCTTTCTGCTATATATATAGATTATATTAATAATCTCACATATACTATATAATCTATATAGTATATGTGGTTTCAACAACCAGATATGCAGCATCCACGGAATAGTGTGGCACCTGCATGGGAACTGCTCCCACCTCTTCACCGGAGTGCATCATCCAGATGGTTCCATTAGTATAATACACGCAAGTGATATTACACCTATACAATTGAGCCATCACATAATTCTCTGCAATTGTAATGAGAGAACCTCAATCCATAAGGTTCCACCCTTTGGATGATGCAACGCACATGATCATAATGTGAATGGAACATGTATGGAGGAACTTTGTCAATACTACACCGTGACTTGTTTATTTTTACTTTGCGTGATCAAAGTGATGGACCAAAGTGGCTGTGACACACACCACGTTATTTCCACATTTTGGAATACTCCAGTCAAAATAACATTCATAACATTCATAACATCAATAACATTCATAACATTCATAACATCATGCACAACATGATTGTTCCATCAAATATCCTCATAAATGGCGGAATTATAGATAATTTAGGTATCATAATTGATTTATAATTACCACAATGGTGGCCTCAATCATTTATAATAAAAAGGGTTTATAATCAAAAAGGGCAGCATACACCATATGACCTATGTAATACTTTTGATTATTGTGAACAAAAGTAATCACTATTATTCTAACACGTCACTTCAATAAAGTTGTGATTGAATTTTAACACTCTACAATGTAATTATAAACAATATAGGTATTTTGGAAGAATCAAATCTACACAAATGGTGGTCTCATTCATTTGATATAATAAAGGGCACCAGATCACCTATGTAATGTAAAACTTTTGCTTATTGACAACAACAGTACTCACAATGATTCAGTGATTGATTGTGAACACCTGAATCCAACACATCACTTCAATGATGGTGGAAATGATACATAATTTAGGTAATATAAAAGATACATAATTACGCCAAATCTTTGTATTGAGAACAACAGTAAGCATCATGATTAAAACATTTGATTGTGGTGAACAGCTGATTTCAACACATCACCCAACTAATGATGTGTTTGAATTGATACACCTGTTGAATTATAGATGACTAGCATTCTAGCGGCGGGCGCCGCTGTTGTCAAACCAAACTCAACACATTCAGTCAAAAGAAAAGCAAGTATGAGTTGATCACTGGGCAAAATGAGACTTGCTCAAGCATTATGGCATGCATCTTGTGAGGATAAATCAAACTTTGTGTAACACAGGTCACAAGGACTCAGAGACCACTTTGGTGATATGTGATTGCACAACCAGTATTGTGCCATATATTGATCTACCTTGGGAAATTAGTCATTGCATCAAGTGCTACAAAGCAATATAGAAGGTTATTATTGGCTTTGGGAATTGAGTGGGAACCAATCATCTCTAATAGTATTGAGAGATGCCTCCTGGTTCAGTATATTGCTCACAGAACTCACAGTTGAACATCTCAAGGGCTTTTGTAGTTTGCTGAGCTTGTTTCCCCTCCACATCCTTCCAATGATAAAGGGATGTCTGAAGAGCCATCATTTTATACCTCCTTTGATGATGATACATGATGGATTCTGGTTTTTATTCCAAGAATTGGTCTTTCATCCTTTGTATTTTTGACAAAAAATTAAGATAGATCAATCCGAGGATGGAATGAAGAGGGTCAGATGATATAATGAATTGAAATACTCAAAGAACCAAATTCCAATTCTGATCTGCAGTCAATTTTGGAAAGGTTGGCAACTTTTGCCCACCAAATTTGAGCAAATTTGTGTGAAATTCTTTCCAAGCTTTGTACACATGACTGTACATCTTCAAACCTGAAATTCATTAGCAGAAGTGAACAGAACTTGTAGAATCCACCAATAAATCCAAATTTCAAAGTATTAATGTTCAAGATGCTTCACCAATGGTTGTCATTGGTTTTTGAAGATTCTGAATTAAATTAAAATCTTTGAATTTGTTAAACATATATCTAATTGGGATGATTCAGGGTTTTCAGGTGGAGAAGTTGCATCTGAAATTTTATGATCATTGGTATCTTGTCCATTCATTGTAGAACAACAAAAAAAGAGAATACATTTTCTCAACTGACAGCAGAAATGTTGTCAAACTTGTACTTTCAAATGTACTTATCACAATTTGAATTCAGAGTGGGGATATATCAAATGTTAAACCATTTCAGATTGTGTCCCACTTGATTGCAAAACATTAATCAAAGTTGGGTAATTGATTACCTAGAAGAATCTCAATTCAGCAGGATCTCTAGTCAGTTAGAGCATTGCCACTGGGGCGTGCAAAATCCCAAATACAGGCTGTTTTCACGTCTTGTGGGAAAATATTCAAGCCACCGGAGCGTATAAACAGCATGTATGGGTTACACAACGTCCAAATCTTGACCGGGAGAGTGCAACTCTGCACGGTGTACAAAAAGGCAAATATCACCAAAATCTGAAATATTGTCTGACCTACCCTGTCATTTTGTATGAGACAAACGATCTTATGCTTGGATCAAAGGCGTAGACTGTTTGAACCTGTCAGTTTCTACACGGCCGCGATTTTGCCTACCTCCGCGCAAATTTGGCATACATGCTCAAACCTGTCAGCAGGACATCGTACAGAGCAGTTTTTTACACGCCAGCAGTGGAGATGCTCTAACAAATTATGTTCTGATGCAAAATGCATTATGAATGGCTTAAACCTTTGCCTCCACCTTAAATATGTCTTGGTAATGCTAATCCAAAGGTCTCTGGTCCAAGTGCTGGGACTTAAGCCGTAAGACACATTGAAATGCTGTTAACCTCCATGACAGATTGCAATTGTGATTGGGTCGATTTCTTCTTTTGAAACCTTATGATCTAAAGAAGGGAAGATAATAATTGTGAAGATCAAAGAAATGGACAAAATCGTGATTGGTAAAGTGAGTATGAGTACCTAACCTATGATCAGATGAATGACATTTTGGCTGAATGGTTCAAATTGAGTTACTTTGTTGTTGTTACGCTTGAAGCAGTGATGAACCACTTTCATACAATACAATACAATGACCTCAAAGGCGGAATTAGTCCAATTAAAATAGTATCCTTCAACTTCAAATCACTCAATGAAAATCAATTGGTTTATTACATCTTATTACTCATTGTCTCATTCGGAGCTTCTGATAATCAACTTGATGCCACAAATCAATTTCAATCTTCAATAAATCAAGCCAAAGACAAAGAAGTTTGGCTGAGTTAAACAATCACATCAAACCTATGATATGGTCAGAAATTGATCAAATATCTAATTCATACCTTACGATTAGTTTACACATGCACTCATCACAACTGTCTAGAATCTTCCATCTCCACGACAGCCAATTATCTTAATCTGTTTAGTTGCTTTGTCACTTACACTTTTACTGTTAATTCTCAATCTAATATTGAACAAGTATGGGAGTCAATCAAAGCTTTGAACCATTATTGTTTCATTAAGATGACGTCTAATTTGACTGCTGACTGATTGTAGATCTAGATCAGGTTGGTTTGAATATGCCAAGGGATTGAAGGTGATCTGAAGAGGAATGGTTCGATTGCAGTGTATTGATTGGACCCAATAGGCAGCAGCTAATTCAACAGATCCGATTTCAATTTAGGTTCTATATCATCTTCAATTGGTTGTAGATGACGATAGACATACCTACTTATAATCATTAATTATCTGTCACCAAATGAAGTGGTAGTTCCTCTCTCATTTAATCAACCAATTGTTATGAAATCTTTTTCCGCTAAATCAATTCCAGCTTCTTCATATTCTGAACCTGCTGCCATACATCCACCTGGAAATGCCGAATGTGATGGCCAATCTTGTCTGATCTTGTTGATCTTTTTATCAATAAAATTTAGGCTTTTGAAGTCTGAATCCATGATTTTGAGAAAAATCTAATTAAAGTTGTATGTACACATGGATTCAAATCATTAATTGGAATTGCAACTTTAGGTTGAGATTGATTTTCTTGAATTTGATTCAAATTTGATTCTATGGGATTTTAAGTTTTTCTGAATCTAACATTGAATTGATTGAAGAAGATGGAGGATGGTGATTGAGGTGAACTTGATGATAGACTGGTAGGTGGTGAAATCAGGTTTAATTTGAATAACTATTTTCAGAAAACAAGATTTAATGTTAGATCTATTGTCAAAAAAAATATTAAAAGTCATAGCTAACTAATAGCCACACTTGCTATTTCAGTTATACCATCATATCGAGGTGGTCCCACTAATGGAGTTGGATTACCAATTCCTTGATTATTGATCAGTTTTATTTTTTGTTGTTGTTGGTATCACTAATGAAGATAGTTTGAGTTGAATTTATAGATAAAAATCCTTGAAGTGATTCTATCAAATGATTTGTGATGCTTAAGCTTGAGTCAACTCTCCTACAAAACAAACAGATAGAAAGGAAGGATGAGTTTCATTGTTCAAAATCAAAATATGCAATTAATAATTGTACCAATTTTGATTTAGTATAAATTGGATGTGGCGGTAAGATATGATCAGATGGTCAAATTTCCAACAAAGTTATAGTTGATTCAGTTGAAGAATGACAATTTCATGGTAAACTAAAGTTGTGAAATCAAAAGATCCAGGTTGCGATGATTAAGAATCCTTTGATTGATCTTCTTTAACTTAAGTTTACCTAGTAATGTTTTAGTCAAAGTTAATAAGATAAGCTCGGTCTACTGATCATGGTGATTACTCGGTTTTTCTGGTTGATTCATCTTGTCCTCAATTGACTCGGTCGGTTTAACTATGTGAAGGCGACAATGGTCAGTCTTCTTGATAGGAGATTTTCATGGAGATCATACTTTTGATCAATAGATATCCAATAGTTCATTATGGACTTACTTTATCAGCAAATTACCCATGCAATTGACTTTGATGTCTAAAGTTTGTCAATCCCCAAAACAAAAAGATCATGAAATCATGTGGGTGATATGGAGAGAGCGATATCAGTTTGGGTGAAATGGATAAATTACACCATTTTTGCTTCCCTCCCCAAGGAATAAACTGCTTCGTTTTCAATCGAATGGCGGTTATGGCCTTGACTGAATTTATGATTTGGTGTGACTGACAGTCATCCGGAAGCTTGTGTAGGTGACAAAACACAAGGGTGATCGCTTCAACTTCAGCTCGATCCAATCAAACAAACTTGAAGAAAACAGGTAATTGAAATCCAATCTGATATTGCTGAGATTTCATTTCAATTCGGATGATTGTAATGAGCCAAATCCAGTTGCTGTCAAGAATAAAGAGAACAGAAAAGATCGAAGAGTCAGCTTTTACAAACAAAAGCTTGATAGGAAACAAACTTCAAAAGATATGCCTTTCTAAACTAATAGAGCTGAGGGTGTCAAAGATGAGAGAATTGATATCGCTTCGGATGTCAGATTCAAGCTCATTGTTTGAAAGGAATCTCATGAAGGTATTTAGCAATGTTAAACCTTGAGATCGAAAGCATGTTGATGAGCATGTTTTCAACCTCATGATCTGGCTTTTTGAGTTTTTCATTTCTACACATGAAGACCGGTGAGATACAAATGAAAACTGTTCCTCGAATCTACATTCTTTATCACGGATAGATTGAGGGATTGCAGAGTTACGTGTTTGAGGATGAATACATCTGGGATGTCTTTCATGTCGGTGTCGAGGGGCTTGAGAACATAGGAAATGATTGAATCAAGTGTAAGAAGTAGGATAGAATGGTCAGTTTGTCAGTTTTAATATGAGACTTCTTAACCTGCTCCATAAATTCCACAATTAGCATTGAAAGTACACTTACATTGATAAAGCAGATCAAGGGGTTCACTCAAGGCTTATATAACATCATGACCATCTAGTGAATTTGACCAATGAAGTTTGACATAGATTGCTTTCAACAGCCAGTTGAGATTAATCGAATTATCTGCAAGAAAATGAAGATTTAGTTTTGTATTCTCAAGATTCCTGTTATATAAGATTTTAATGACTTACGGAAACCACCGATGGGATTCCTGGATATACGCTGATAGGATCTCATTGGTCTTCCCAAATTGCCAGATTGGATTGCTAATATCTGTAAGGATTCATTGAAAGTAAGGGTTTTACTTGAATGGATACGTAATAACTGATGATCAATGATCTTAAGCTGATTGAGAAGACTGATAAGAGATAAGATCGAACCTGATCGAACATTATAAGGGATATTCTTTGAGGAAGATTTGATGCAAGATTTGATTAAGTTTGAATCGGGTAGCCAAGTCTTGATCTGAAGGTAGTGAGGGTGTAGTATGTAAGTTGAATATCACACGTAGGGAATAAGGAAGAAGAAGTTAGGGTTAGAATAAATGGCATCTTTTTAGGTATGAGGAGTCTTGATTCAGAAGGTACAAAGCTGCAGTAATTGGAATCACAGTGAGAGACCTAGAACAGAAATATTGCTGACCTGGGATCTTGGTGCTCAATCGCTTTTCTTCTTCCAGTTGTTTTTGCATTTGTCTCTACTTGAAGTCATTCCCAAGTTGAATTATACAGAAGATGAATGATATCGTGTGTTGATCAACTCGATGATGAATGATGATGATGATGATATTCCAACTCTGGGTGAAGTGTGAGTCTTACTGTCCGCATTTTCAAATAACCTTTTGTCAGTACAATCAAGCAACTGGCAGGTTGTTGCGTTGATTTTGGCGATGGAGATACATACCCAGGGAGATCCGCCGGATTGTGATTGGGATTGGCGAGGATCATGATGGTGAATGCAAATTGAATTGCAGTGAAAGGTTTCTGACCAAGGACAAAACTCGAAAATCACGCTAATGGTGGATTTTGTCGAGTTTTGTAAGCGAACCGTCTCTGGGATTAATTGTTATGATAATATAGGTATTATAAATGATTTATGATAACTCCAATGGTTACCATTCATATAATGTATGTGATGCTTTAGATTATCCAGCTTGGCAGGGCACATGGAGTCATATTCGACAAACATGACTATTTACATACATTCTGTCAGAACAGGGCCGTATTTCACAGGCATGTCACCAGTGTGGCTTTTACATGTGCGTATATTCTTTCCTATTTGCAGTCAACTTTGAGTGTAATGACACCAAGGGTGCACCAAGCCAAATCTATAACTTCCACCCTACTCTCCACTATCACTTGCTCATTTATTTCATCACTACAATAATTGCAAGATGCCTAAATTCGAAGGCGTTCACCAACCCTTCCATCCGAAAAAGCCGTACTGGCAGAAGCGACCTAAGACCGACCTGCAGAGGAAACATTTCGAAAAGATGCAAAAGGCGGTCAGCTCTCGGAATCAGCAATCCAACTTAAAGCGTGAACCTAAGGATGATGTAGATGATGTTCAGCCATACGGATTTATCATAGATCAGCAAGATGACCAACAAGACGAGTTACCCGCGCCTGAGTTTGTTGAAGAGATACGCCAAGCTCGACTTGAGGAAGAAAGACAAGAACGGGACAACCTACTTGCCCGGGCAGCAGAAGAAATGTTCTCAGCATATCTCACATGTTCATTGAAGACCAATGAATGGGGAAATCCAGCAACATGGAATGTCGATCACAAGGCAGCGTGTCATTGTCATCCTAGTCATTGGCACGAGCGAGACGTCGATTTGGTTGACCTGGCTAGTAAGTTCGCGTACTCTATCATTTGGATACAAGAAAGCTACATAATCTGATTGCATATATGATTTCCTGTTGTGTAGCTCGTCGTAAGGCCCGAATACAATTTTGTCGCTGTCAGCAAAGCGATCAAACTAGGCTCATTCTCATGGGATATATCGGCGGGTCTCCGAAGTATCCTAAGACGGCCTTCTCCATTCGCCTACTACGGTTTTTCCATCTCATGTGGAAGTTCTACACAATTCGAATTGGGCCTTTCACTCGAGCCCTGGATGAGTACCTCGATGCCTTCAGTGCTCTGATCCTCACCAAATCTCAACAAGTAAGTACGTTATCCATTATGTAAAAGACTTACACTTAGCTAACATTCTGCAGCCTCGCCGATGGCACACACCTATGTATTGGGCGGTGGATGCCTATTGGGAGATGCTATCTATGACCGAAAGGGTCCTAGATGAAGCACTCGAACTCACACCGCTGGACAAGGTATCCGCCAACTGTCCACGCTGTTTTGGACCTCCTCCACAGCTCGAGGCGATACCATTGGAACCAGACATAGTGGTTTGCATGGACGGCAACTTCCAGCATTGTCGACACATAGCAGCTGGCACCAAAGCTGCGCAGAGACCCACCAAATGGCTCCGCTTTTCCTTCCAGATGAGCAAGTTAACCGTATGCGTGCAAGGCTCGAAGGCACGCCAGATCAAGATTTTGTAAGTTACAAATTGTTAATGCCCCAATATGTTAGTATTTAATGTTTGTCAGAATACAAGTTGATGTGATCACATAATTATGTTGAGCAGCAAGCCTGTGCTGTTCAACATACTGCAGCTAATGATACTCGTGGAAAAGGTCATTGGGGGGGATGTGATGAGACCGGCCTCATGGGCATGGTATGCCGTCATGATCACTCTCTTTGATTTGCTAATATTGTACAAAGTGGCGAAAAGTTGGTGTATCTTCTTATGTGGGTCATTGATTACCAATAACTTACAAGATCGTATATTTTCATAGGCTTCATTACAGCTACTCTTTGATAGAGTGGATTCTCGACTTGACTCAAACCCTCGGTGCGACTCCTCGACAAATAGGATTCTTGTATGACATTGGGTGTACACTTCAAGCTGGAATTGATAAAGTAGGTTCTTTTACTAGTTTTTCCAAATTTTTTCGGAATAAACTAATGAATTTGTATGTGAAGCGACACACCTTTGAGGATGATCGATTGAATGGACGACTTCAATTTGGCACAAGTGTGTTCCATGCATACGTGCATAGGTGGACATGCCAGTTGAGGTGGAATCCTAGGCTTAATGCAGGGTGGGGCCTTTCGGATGGCGAGGGAAGAGAGAGGGTGTGGTCCGGTCTAAGCCCCCTCGTTAGCCCTCTACGATATTCCACCAAACAACACCGGGTCAACGCCATTGATATGCGTTTGTCACATGCTAATGCTTGTCTTCGGCATGAAGCAGGTAGACGCTTCTAACTTAATCCTCATTACCCCTCATCGAAAGTCACGTGCTGATTAAAATCACCACATCAAAGTTAAAAATCTTCAGGGAAAGAAGAACGAATACATAAAAAGGCTTGGAGTAGCTGAAGGTACCTTAAGGATGCTATCGGCACCTGGTGATGGGTGCCCAGGCCGCGACACTGCTTATTACGAGGGCCAATGGTTGGCCCAACGAGAACGTCAGCTGGATGTAATGACTGAAACAAAGAAAGAGCTGAGGGAGAAGATGGGTGTCTTACTGACTTTGGAAGAAGGACTACACGTTGCTCTGTAAGTCAAGGAATTGCTCAATCCAAGATATCAAGACATCTGACTTACTGAGTGACGCAATCCACGTTTTGAAGGGGTCGACTTGCTAACCTGCAAACCAATCGCCAAGGTGCTAGGACTCAAGCCGAGCGCAATGAGTTACTAGCGCTACCAGCCACCGTGGTTGATTTTGAAGAACGAATTGAAGAGGTTGCGGCCGAACTTGGAGGCAATGAGTATCAAGCTCTGTTAGGGGTCAACTGTGCGTCAATCATACTTATCTACCTTAGGATGCTGATTTGATGACTTAAGATTTGTTCAGCCACTCAAACCAATGCGATTCTCGGCATCACGATTGCGCGAGCCCACATGTATGAAGCTAGAGTTGGGGTCGTCGAAGCCAGACTGCGTCAGCATCGCAACACAGGTCAAAAAGCTGAATCTTGTATATTTTTGATGCAAACCGTTTTGCCTGACACCAAAATATTACACCCTACAGGCACAAGACAGCAGCAGCACACGGCGCGCCATTGTAGTGATAGGACAAGAGACCTGCGAAACAAGTACAACACTTATAAACGCCGGGTTCAAAAATACCACACAGATTTCCCAACACGGCTGTGTGTGGAACTCCCCGATTTGGGAACATTCGAGGCCATGGATGTCAATGATCCATTTTGGAACCGTGGTGAGAATGATATCCAGGTAGGCAAAGAGGCGGAAACCAAGCGAACCAGGCAAGGTATAGAGGCCTTTTTGACCAAACGGGGTGCCACCGAGGAGCTACGACGCATCGGACGTGAAGTGCGCCAAATGATGGCTTGGGCGATAGAATATCACCGCCGCATCATGAGATTGAAGAATTCCATGGACCACGGTAAGAAACTAGATCAACCATCATTTCGGATTGAACACTGACGTTCGGGTGTTTACAGTCGAGGACGTTGTAGAGAAAGCTAGGATGACGGCTCTTTACAATATTGTGGCAGTAAGAACTTGTAAATTATGGAAGAACTGGCGGAATCTGGATCAACAGCTGGATGATACTCGCCAGTATCTACCAGGCTGCATTGATATAGAAGTGCTACATGGGTGGAGGAGGGTTTGTACTTGGGTAAATGAAGAGTGGTTGAAATTGAAGCGCTCAGTTATAGCAGAAGAGCCTGACCTGTATGAGATTGAGGAAGATGATGTATATGATCAACGGTACGACATGAATGGTGAAGTGTTATTAAGAGATTAGGTATATCAGTTTAGTTAACTTTTGGATACATCGAAAGAGTTTTTCCTTGTTGTCATTGTTAGATTTTGTAATGTTAAAATATTGTAATGAGATTCAGTGAACACCTGCAATGATGTATTGTTTTTATGTTGTTATTTTTGATAATGATCCGAGAAGATCATTGAACAAGGGTTGTTCTTACAATCAAAGTGATTCATTGAATCATTTGCATTTGGCGCTTTTTCTGGCTATTATTGGAAACACGCACACAGTGGTCAATTTATATTAAAAATGTAAAGTTTGAACATATTTTCAAGGTAATAATATTTACTCGTGAAGACTAAAAGAATATAATAATACAACATCTAATCTTATTACTAATTGCTATCTGATAAAAGGTCTACAGGATCTTTTGGACCGTACAACCATGGCTTTTCTGCAACTAAAATCGGTATAATACATTGGTTGAAAATCTTGAAATGGGAATCATATTTATTGGCCCACTGCATCGCGTTGGCCGTCGCGAGTTTATACCATTCTTGCCAAGGTTTAGGGATAGGGACAGACCGAGAGGTGATGAGGGATAGAGACAGAAAATGAACACCTTTCCGATCATAACAGAGAAAAATAGGTGGATTATCATTCACAGGACCTTCCAGAGGCAGTGCTGAAAAACTTTCTCCATTGTCACCGTACACGCAGAATAGCCGTTTGTAAGTGGAAGCGATGATATATAACATCTGTGTCGAATTGAGCCACAGTGAAGGGCTATCCAAAACCTGTTTCCTGTCTGTTCTGAGTACTGAGATGTGTTCGGCAACCCCACCCTTACCATGCTTCCGTGCTGCTAAGTGCGATTCATAGAAATCGACTTTGGACTCAAGCTCGCCAATCAGCTCTTCTTGGACCGAAATCCATTCTTCTTCAGCTCGGCCAAGACAAATGGCTATCGCACGGTATCCACAGTGACCATCACCGAGAGGGTCATAAACTGCTTCAACATAATCATGAAGCCAATGAGGTACTCGCAAGTCCTGGAACATCTGCCATCATCAATAATTGACATGGATGGTCACACGTGTTTTGAATGGGACGTACACACTTTTTTGGTGTTGCGCATGCGTATAGACCTGCGAACGCCCGTCTGTGGAACTGCTTCGGTCGCTTGATGTCTAGTTGACCTACAAATGATCGTGTCATTGTGGACTTCAGCTGAGTCACAGTTGGGCAAAAATCTATCCGGTTTTTTAGCCTTGATCTTCTTATTCTTAATCTGCAAGATTACAAAAAGGGTACAAAAATAGTTGTGAGCGGGAACTTTTAGGGTATGAGATAGGCTGACTTCGGTGATTTGTTCGGGGGAGATTGGAGGGTTTTTGTCTTTCTGGGGTAGTAAGCTTTCCAATTGGAAGCTTCCGTCGGCATCGTCCAATTTTGCAGATGAAGGTGAAAGCTGTGTGGTGTCTATTAAGCCCGACACCAAAGGTAAACTGGTTGCACTGATGGCTGGTGAAGGCTGAAAACCACATACGTTGGTCAGTATCTTGAAATCGTAATTAACGCTTTGTATTATGTAAAAGAGGTATAGTAGCTCACAAAGTTGTTGGTGTCATCAGCGGGCTCAGACTCGTAATCGACTAAACACATAAGAATTGGTGATTTGATGGGAACTGGACAATTTCCTGTCGGTGCTGGGGGTGAGTGGGTTATGACTGGTTGGCGAGGTATCATAAGCGGCAGGTGTGGTGATGACTGCATGCGATTAGATGAAAGGAGTGGCAAGATGTGGGTGGTGGCGATTGGAGACTCTGGCTTTGGAGGAGAGCCATCAATATGTGAAATATTGACTTGTGGTGTCTTTTTGTGTTTCTTCTTGACAGGTTGAGGCACCTCTCCTGTCTCATGCGGCTTTGTCTAGACAAATCGATTACAAAAGCAATAATGTCAGATATGTTCAATGGGTTGAGATAAGAGTGACGAACTGCTGATATTGACGTGATGGGGGTTTGGGAAGTTCCTATAATGGAGTTTTGGC